GGATGGATGGATGGATGGATGGACGGATGGATAGAGGGATGGATGGATGGTAATTGATGATGTTACGGGGTTGGGATAAAACACAATGTTCTGCTTCTATAACAGTATTGGTATTTATTTCATATTAGAAAACAAACATTAACTACTCAATGGAGTTTTTCTAGTCCAAAAATCATGACAAGCATTACAAAAATAAACTCACAAGAAAATGCTACTAATTATTGTAAGCTGTAAAAACACATGTGATTGGTTTATGATAACTAATGGTCACAACAATCTTACATTTAACCACTATCTTGGAAAAAAACAGACTCTGCATCACACTGATAACACCAAACAAAAAAAATACTGCATATTTGCACCATATATATTAATGCTCTGAACTTCCATACAATGCATTTTTTGCACCGCTTTTTTTCTCCCACACTTTACATCTGATCACTGCTGCACTTTATAGAATGGACATTTTCATTTACTGTCTGAAAAGCTATACTAAACAAAGTGTGGTTTCTGAATACACTCCATGTATAAAAAAATGACAATAACAGTTGTCTATGTCTAAGATATGTTAACACATATATGTGAAATTGCAATAAAATCAATGAATTCTTTAAAATAAAAACTTTTTTTCATGTGATGCTGGTTCTTCCTTACTTTTATGGAATGATATTGTTTTTTAAGACCCTTTAATGCCAAATAAATTACTATTAAGGACTGGATTTGGCCCATGGGCCTTAACTTTGACACATGGTGTGATGAGGTCATTTAAACGGAGAACTATCTTGAAAGCCTACTCTTTGGTTGAAAATTTCAAATTAAAACATCATTGCATGGGGTGGGGTGATGGCATGTGTTTTTACTACAAACACAGTCATTACTTAATGTTCCTGCTGCTTCTCTAATTTTCTATTTTAACCCATAATCCAAATAACTGAATTATTTATTATGCCTGAATTTGACATTCAATAAAAACTGGAAAAAGTTGCATTTCCTGTGAAAATGCAGTTCGAATGCTGTATGCTAAACTTTAAGCTGTAAAGTTAAAATGGCAGAAACAAGCTGAAAATTAAAGCAAAAACTGCTATAATTGTATGAATTGGCAGAAAACTAAAATGCTTAATTACTTTGCTAAAAATAGTGGAAGCCAACAACAGCGGAAACATGGCTGACATGTTAGGAATTAGCAGCAAACAGAAATGATTTATGCCTGTCCAGAAAGAGAGCAGAATCAAACCCAAATTGAAAAAAATAAAATTAAATAAGCTGAAATTTAATAAAATAGCAGAAACAAGAAAATAAATAATAAAAAAAGACTTAAATCTTATCTGATTGAAATAAAAAGAGTAGCTTAAAGATAGGAAGTAAAATGTTGAAGAAGATGGTACGGAATAAGTATTAAAGTGTGAAATCATATGTGGAAATGAAAAGACTTGGCAAAAACATTTGAAATGAATTAAAATGTGTCATTTGATCAGCATCCTTAGAAGCTTGACAATTGACAAACCTATGTGCAAGCCTGACTATGAGAAGCAGAGGAAGGACAAAGAGAGAAGCTTATAGATAGACAGCTAATAAGCTGAATTTATCCTAAAACTAGTTACAAAGAAAGATATAAAAAAGAGGCAAATTTCATGAAATGATGAACTTCTTCTTCTTCTGAGACTTTCTGGCCGTTGGCAAACTAGTTAAAGTGCACTACTGCCACCAACTGATAAGGAGTAAAACAAGGAAACGGGAAACGGGACTCACCCGAAGAAAATAAATAAATAATAAAAAAATTTATATTTTCCAAACTGTTTAACTGAATCCAACATAATAAATACTTAATCACATTTTTTCAAATTTATCTTTAAGTTATCATCACTCTGCCAGTTTCTGATGATCCTATCGGTTTTCCCATCATGCTTTCAACCATTTCCCAGTTTAAATCTCTAACTTCAAGATACTTCTCTGCAGCTTTCACTATAATTTAGATTTTTTTCGGTTTGCCTTGTCGTCTGAGCACTACAATTGATCATTTCAACCATGAAAAGAACAAAATCTTTCTTCTTTACAATCCATGAATCTTCAATTTTGGGACGCTGCTCCAGAGGTTTTGAATTTGCTATGTGTTGAAAGTGTTTTTGGGGATTTTCTGACTGGGATTGGATCCTTTTTGCTGCTTCAGCATACGTTATTCCAAGCTCAAATGTCACTTTTCTAATTTCTTCCGATATTTTACTCACTTCACACCCGGGATAGGCAGCAGTATGTTCTCCACCACAGTCACAGCATTTAATCTTTGCTTCTTTCCCATATTTTCCATATTCATGCTCTCCAGCACACCTTCCACATCGCTGTTTTGCTTTGCATACTGCTGCGATATGACCAAATTTTTGGCATTTGAAGCATCTCAGAGGCGGAGGATTTTACATTTTGACATTGTAGCTCATATAACCAATGAAAACCTTGCAGGGTAATTGCTTTTCTTCAAATTTAATCAACCCAGATAAGCTGTCACACATTTCTCAGTTTCTTGTTGTTTTTAACTGTTTCACTTCTTTTACTTTTGCACCACTTATGTTTTCTAGAATCTGCTTTTCAGAAACTTTTAAAGGAACTCCTTCAATGACTCCCATGCTAATCCTTTAGTTCTCCAACAAGCTGCACTGAACTCTTTTCCCCTCAATCTTGTTAATTCTTATAGCTTTGCCTTGCTGAGCGCTGTCTCTGCAGTTTATTAACAGCTCTCCACTATATCGTATTCTGGCATTTCGGAGTTCTTCAAGTTTATTTATCGATTTTCTTAACTGAACCAGATTCCAATCTGTAAAATAGTCTGTCTGATTAACTAGTTTGAATATGACTTTGTACTAATTTTGTTTTCCTGTGGAATTTCTAGATTGTTTATCACTTGATTGTTCTGGACTCCCTGCTGCTGCAGTTCCAAGTATCCCTGCTTAATAAATGGGAAAGTTGTTCCTAAACAAATGGTCATAAGTCTGGCATAATATATCGTATCGATA